TGATAAGGGTGTCGTTTACATACGCCGCCCGCGGTGTCCTCAATGTGCAGCGCTTGCATCGATACGAAGATCCCACAGGAGAACCCGCGCTTAGCCGTGAAGAACAGCCAGAAGGGAGAGGGTTCAGACCGTTAGCGCGTTTGGCTAAGGCTTGCCGTGCGGGAATATGGTTGTAGTATGGAAACGGCACCTACAGCCCGTTCCCGTGTACATTTGAGCGGAAAGTGGCACACAACTGCAGCTGCGGACCTATTCGCCACGCATATGGTAATGACCAGAATCCACGGAGATTACTGCAGAGTTTGTCTTTAAATGTCACTAATTCGCAAGGCATGAGAATTTACTACCTTAAACAGATTCCGGGTCACAGCTGTGCGAGGATTCCCGCATCTTTTCGTTACTTTTGCAAGCGACAGTCAGTAATTTCATTTGCTTTCTTTCACGTTCCTATGAGGTATATGTATTTTATGCCTAAAAAAGTGTTCTGACCAGGACAAGATGCCAAATAGACCATATGAAACGGCGCAGAGTGGAAAATGCATGACACACCATGTGTGTCACGCGGTGAGGAAGGTGTTGGAGGCAAACTAAACACTCGAATAATTCTGGCGGGATCGAGCCAATAATGGAAGCCGTTATGTTGCAGATGGGCTAGTTATGTGATAGTGACTAGTTGGAAGCTATGCTGAGGGGAACTGAACATGTTTGTGATTAGGCGCAATTTTATTTAAACATAAGTGTACGCCGTATGACAAGAAGCATAAACGATTTAGACTAATTCAAGGTGTTCTACGGGAAGATGTTTGTGCGTCTATTTCCAAAAATGCTCATTGGGACGGCATGCTCACGTCTTTCCGGCTCTGCACTCCCCTCATTTAGGTGGGGGATTTCGTTCGCCGCCATGTGCGTTTTCATATTTCGATTTCGTCCGCATTTTTATTTAGTGTGTAGTAGTTTCTGGTCTGTCAGTTCTAAGAAAGGGACAAAAAGCTCTGGGTGTAGATCGTATAACTTTGGGATGCGTCTTGCATTCTGCTTCCACCCAGTATCATAACAGCTTTTGATTCTGATACTTGGCAGTACCTTGACTTTCGACAGTGACCGATGCATTTACTAGCGAGTATTTTTGTTTTCCCATGTATTTCTGATACCAATTTACAAGCTTGATTGATGAGGCTTGGGATTGATGAGAAGGTTGGTGAACCTGGCTGACTACGGTGTCTTGAAGAAAACTCGGTCATTGTACCTTAGTTAGGCTGCGTTCATACTTTGTGGCAGTTGTGGCTGCGTTTCATACGTATTGTGCCTGCGCTTTGGCGTATGCTGCATTTGAGGCTTCTCGAGCAGTACATCAACGTTTTGAGCATCCCGTACGACCCGAATGTATAGGTGTCGATCTAGGGTTTCGAGTGTGTGCCAGTATTCTTGGCGTTTTCGCGGGTAGTTGCTAAAAACCCTGGTGTATCCTCCAAACGGTGGATCTGTATCTATATCTTTCCACTTGTCGCTCAAAAGCTGCTGTGCATGGCATACGTTCGTACCCTCAAGAGGCTGACGCAAAGTATGAAAGAAACGGTTTTTGGTCTCTTAGAGCGCGTTCATACCTGAACATCGCGCGATCCAGCCGACGGGGCGCATTGGTGGTTGGAGATTTCGGTGCCACCCTCTCATAGTTTCCTTCTCCTATAAGCGATTATCGAGCTGTGAGCGGCGGGGGCGGGGGTTACGCGTAGCAGCTGTGAAACAGGAAAACCGCGAGGAGTCAACAACCGAGGAAGATTTTTCCCAACGCCGCAAACTTCTCTCAGAAGCCAGATACCACCTCTCCCCAGCGACCAAATACGACCCCCCGTTGAGGAATCCTCAACGACGATGTGCCCTGCCAGTCGAGCGACCGGCGCACCGCCGCAACGGCCCAGTTCAAATTGACTGCGTGGACGCGACCGTGGAATCCTGCCGTTGCCGCGGTGCACCCGCCTGGCGGTGGAGCGCCCCCGGCCAGGATTGCTCAAATCAGATCTCTGACCGGTTTGCGAACAAATTTATCGCTATAATTAAAGGCTCGACTACAAGTTTAATCGGGCATTTCAAGGTTGCCTTGTGCAAAAGTGGGATACCGTCATTGGAATGGGAGTTCATTCATTTAGATTGGTTCACTAGCCCCGGAGTTCCTCACACCTGTAGCTCCGCATGAGTACTCATCTCTATTGCCATAATCCCAGTTCTGCACAGGGAGTCCTTTAAATAACCCTCCCAAGGTTATCATTGCTGTGCTCTGCATGTAGACGTAACTATTTTCAAAGTCTTGCGAGTTAAATGCGTTTACATGCTTGTTCAGGCTAGGTGCGCTAGCGAGTTGTGCCTTACCCAGCTTGGTCCGTCCGAAGATGTCGGAAGTCGAGAAAGCGCAGACGGCTGTTCGTGAAAAGGACACGATATTTGGGAAGATCATTCGCAAGGAAATCCCTGCGAAAATAATCTACGAAGATGATGAGGTACGAGTTCCTGCTTCATTAGAAATAACAGTGTTCACCTTAATTTTTGCTGCTTTTGAATTTTTGGTTGTGTCTCCAGCCTAGTCTATTTTCACTATTTTCAAAAACACTTCTAAAGTAACAAATGGCCTCGAATTTTGCGATTTTTTTCCATTTTCTTCGATTTTCCATGCCTTCATAAACATTTTTCTTTATTCAGGTTCTAGCTTTTCACGATGTCTCCCCTCAAGCTCCGGTTCATTTTCTGGTGATACCCAAAAAGCCAATCCAAATGCTTCAGGATGCTGAAGATACGGTAATCGTTAGTTTACATGTTTCCATAACATATCTGTTAACATAAGACAGCAGTGATGTAGGGGCAGATGGTAGCTTACCACGTGCGCGGTCCTGGGATCAAATCTTGAACCGGATCCCGCCCAGGTAAAACGAGCCTTCTATCCTCCGGGACGGTAAATTGATACCAGACCCGTCTGGGGATGAGAATAGTGACTTGTGCGTCGGCCGGTCCACCAAGTCATTGTATAGATCATATCGCATTCAATAAACCGGTACAGTTCCGAATGGAAGTAGAATGCGTGGTGCAACCTCAAAAAGGGTTCAAAAGACTCCATCCTTTCATCTTTCAAGTCTAAAATTTTACTCAGTCTTTCTACTTTGTTGATTGATAATTTCAAGGGGACGTCGGGAGTTAGTGAGGAGGGGGTGCGAGGTTGCCTTCGCATTCGATCTCCACCAGAGCACGTCGCACGCTGGGGATTCCCAAGGGTAGACTTGGTCGCTGAGGGCGTGGGGGGGGTGGTATTCAGTGTTTCTGATTGTTGATCTTCCCCTTTTCACGTACGCACACCCTCCAAGTTCCCCTAATCGGAGGTAGAGCGGAGGTACTATTTCTGATAGTTGATCAGAGGTGATTACCACCGCCGCTTCCGCACCCCCCCCCACCCATCCCGCTCACCCAACCCCACCCCTCCCGCTCACTGCAAATGTTTGGTAAGTTTGGCAAGATGGCTGGTTTTCTATGGATTCTGGAAGAGGGTCGTATCAGCGAGAACATTTTGGAGAGGGTGGTATGTAGAAAATTCTCCCCAACGTCTGATGTGTCCTGGTCATCACTCCCTGAAGGCCTCAAAGGACTCGTGGCAATTGTTTCACTAAAAACGGCTCATCTGTCGTCGTTTATGCACTTTTTTATGGGGCTACCTCTTAAATGGAAAACCAACATCTCACATTTCGAGGAAAGTACCTTACTAAGAGTAAATGTCACATTTCAGGATCAAGCTCTTCTGGGGAAACTCATGCTGACAGCTGCTAAGGTACAGTATAATTGTTAGAACTTTCCTCTGTAGTCGACTCTTGAAGTTAAATTTTTTGAGTATTTTCCACGTCGCTATTATTAAATGTAGTGTTCCGTGCTACGGTAATTTGCGTAAAAGTTCAAGTTTAGGTTGCTCGCGATCTAGGACTCGAAAACGGCTATCGAGTCGTGGTGAACAATGGACGCGATGGCTGTCAGAGTGTGTTCCACCTTCATCTACACGTTCTTGGTGGACGCCAACTGGGATGGCCTCCAGGATAAGAGCATGTTGTGTTTTTCTTGGCGTTATGGGATAGCTGTTTTTAGAGCGTCATTTCTTTATATTTAATGCTAATATTGCTTGTTGGACCGGTATAAATAATTGCTTATCTCTTGGTGTTACGTAATGGTGGGGAAACTTGACCCTTTGTAGCTTGTCGTAACGGGAAAAAGATAAGGAATGAGTCATCGTTAGGAAAACACTTCACTTGCGCTTGCCTGACTCTGAACATTTCTCCGTTGATTGTTTTTTGATAAGCCTAATGCTCCTCAACCAGGGCACGTCCTTTCGCTGGGGAAGTTTTCAGGAATAACGACCCCCGCCCACTCCTCCCCCTTCTCCATCCTATACATACCATTTTTCTAGTTTCCTAGTTGTTCTCAACTTCCTACCACTTTCCTAAATTTCCCGAATTCGCAAGATGTCTCCGGTTCTTCCCCTTAATTTTGCTGTCGAGTGGGGGGGGGGGGGGGAATATAACACGTGTGAAAGCGGGAAAAATCGCAGAAAGTCAACAGCGGCAAGGATTTTTTCACAACTCGGCAAATTTCTCTCAAGCAAATATGACTTCCTGCATCTGAACTCTCAGTGATGTGA